GGTTAAGGACTGTTTTGAGAGGAGAAAGTGAAATTTGTAATAGACGCATAATAAATAGGCCTAATATTAGTAAGCCTTACAATAATTATAATAACTCAATATAGTGGCGAATCCAGAAATTAAAAAAAAGGTGACCCAGGAAGGGATTTTCAGAGATGGAGGGTTCACCCACCTCAGCACTACCATGGTTGGGGCTGATGTAAGCAAATTTATAATTAGGGCACCTCTAGATGGCCGGAAATTACACTCACAGACTTAAATTTAAAAATAATTTTCTTTTTTTCCATTAAAAGGGGGGGGGGGAACCTTGAATCTACTGCTCCCTGCTCAAAAAATTCTTTATCAAAAACAGTCATAATCACGAAAAATGGGCATGGAAAACCTGAAAAATGGGCATGGAAATTCCTGAAAACAAAATGTATGCATCTTCCCCTCAGCAGTTACTAAGACATACTCTGAGTCATGTGCCGACTCGATGGAGTTTAATGTCATACCCGGGAAGGGCGCAGATCTGCTTTGAAAGGTGTGTGGTGGGGAGACATTTCATGAGCCCACCCACCTCAGACCCACCATGGTTGGGGCTGAGTTGCGAAAATTTCAGAAAATAGTACCTCTAGATGGCCACAAATGGCACTTTTAGCAAAATTCATCATCATCATCATATCACCATTATAATCGTCAAAATAAAGCGCCAACAAATTTTTCATTATTTTTTATCACAGATTTTCGGCAACCAAGAGATCTTATTAATATGTGTGATGTACCATAGAAAATAAAGTTTAAAAACATTTTCTTTGATGTATGTACTTTACAACCACCTTAGCCCACCATGGTTGGGGCTGAGGTGAGAACATTTGAGGAAGTAGTACCTCTAGATGGCCGGAAATGACACTTTTAAATAGTAAAATTTATCATCATTGTCACATCACCATATAGTTAGAATGAAGCGCCAACAACTTTCTCATGATCTTTTATCAAGGATTTTCGGCAACCATAGAGATCTACTTAATATCCAGAACAACTTGGGCCCAAATATACTAAGCTTCAACTACTATAATAATTATGATCGACAAATCACACCTTTCCTTTTCGCCTTCAGCACAATTGTTAATATTATTAATATTATTATTTATTATCATAATCACTATCGTCGTCGTCATCATCATCATCGTCATTATTATTATTATTATTCTACTTTAGTAGTATTAAACAAAACTTTATAAATGCTTGCAAACGGATAACAACCAAACTGAACATTACAATAACACATTTCTGTATTTTAAGACATGGCCTGGGATTTATGAATTTAAGACGAATTTAATTTTTTTTTGTTAAGTAACTTTGCTAAATCCACTCCTTGATAAACGAGAACATTTATTTTTTGCATTATCGTGTACAGTGAAAAATTGATTAATCTAATGAATATCCTACTGGGTTACTCTCAGGTTAGCGAGTGACTTTCGTTGATAGAAGTTTATGGTGGTTTCTATTAGAGCACGGGTCACAAACCTACGGTATAGTAGAAGGAGTCAATTAGAAATTGTACAGCATTTAAATCAACACCAACGTGCTGATGCATATTTACATGTTTTAGAGAAGTATTCATTTTGAGTGATCCCATGAAAGAATTTGTCCCATGGTTCCCCCATCCCCCATCCCTGAATACGTCCCTGTAATAGACTATGAAAGATTGCAATCACCAGATCACATATTTTGTCTTTAATCAAACGTTACCCTCATGTCAAATATATGAATAATATACAAGAGCCGCAAAACCTACGTAAAACATGTTTTCTAACTCAATCTATGCTCACTCCCACTAACGCATTCATTCGCAATCTTGTCGATGTCTAAACCATCAAGCTTTCCCTTATGAATGTTCAACATCATTAGGTTATTCAGACGGAATATTTGAAAACAATCATGTCAAAGTATCGGTACGGCGGCCGCCGTATCTGCCGTACTGGTTTTGCCGCCCCGGCTTGGCTTACTCTTTTCTCAAATCGGAAAAGCTCCGTTCTCAGACTTCAACTTCACTTGCTCCATCATACAAGTTCTTCACCATTCAAATTAGGTGTTGTGAAACACCAAACTCTTCCATCACTACCCGCTAGGCATCATTTGATACCTATGGTTACATTTTTAAGAAATTTTCTATTGGATAAAAATGGAATATCATTACCTGAGACAAAATTAGCCAATCACATCACACAATAGATATTTATTTCACAGAATAACAAAAGATGGCCGACAATACATTGTAGGGAAGCGAAATATGGCGGCTTGAAAGCCGGTGAATTTCTTCAAAAATTAATGCACATTTGGACTGTTTTTATACGTTTCGTGTAGAACATATGCCCTTCATAAAATGACTAAATTTAGGGTTTAGATTAAGAATATTGAACCCAAAACTTAAAAAATAGTAAGATTAAAGGTAAAACTTTATGTTTATGATAAAATTACGTTTTGCTCAAATTGCATAGGCCTATTATACGGTCTATTTGGTCCCCTTTCTCAAAACCTGGTGATGCGAGTCTACAGCCCGTTCGTGGTCTTGGGCAATTAATTATTATTATATCAATAAGATGAGAATGTTAAACAAGCGATCTACGTTATAATTTTTGTTATCATTTATATCAGTATCATTATCATCATCATAAGAATAATAATTACCATTATCAAT